AGGGTTATACATCTAAGGACATGCCGTTGCGTGTCGAAGTGTTTGTTTAGTTTGTGTATTTCTTAATTTTAACAAAATTTGTCAACGTCGAAGATTTACCTCTAGGTTTACGTTATTTATCATTATTATTATTATTATTATTATTATTATTATTATTATTATTATAATTACTATTATTGCCCCAATGTTTTACTTACCGTTTGAAATACATGTTTGTGCTCTTTCTTTATTTTCGTCTGTGGTTGTTGTTGTTGTTGTTTTTTTTTTGGCTTTCAGCATGATGTATTGGACGGATTGGGGCGCCAGTCCAAAGATCGAGCAAGCTGAGATGGACGGTTCAGCGAGAAGAACCATCGTAACCGAAAACCTCGGCTGGCCAAATGGGCTCACTATCGACCAAGTGACCAATCGCCTGTTTTGGACTGACGCGTTTCTAGACAACATTGAGGTTTCGGATCTCAATGGTAGAAACAGACAGCTTATAATGCCAAAGGCTGCTAATATCCATCCTTATGGACTAGCGGTGTATCAGGACATGCTTTACTGGACTGATTGGGGTACCAAGAGCATTTCACGCTTCAATTTAAGCAGTGCGAAACAAGAAATGATAGTTTATGGCCTTAAAGAACCAATGGATATCCATGTATTTGATCCGTCCTTAATATTTTCAGGTACCAAGATGATTTTGTATCTCTTAGAAATAACTATGAACCTATAAAGAAAAAATAAAACTGTGTTTACATTTATTGAGTCGACAGTAGAATATTATTTGTCACATTTCTTTATACATCTTCAGGTCCTCATAATTGTTCTCAAAACAATGGACTCTGCAGCGATTTCTGCCTTCTCAAACCAGGAGGATACCAGTGTGCTTGTCCAACGGGCATTGCCTTGAAATCTGATGGAAAAAACTGTGACTATNGCAGAGACAACAAAGGAAATTCCTCTCTGCACGTGATCATCGTGTGAGGCAGTTGATGACCCTTGCTGTGAGAAAAAAAAGTCAGATAGACTACTCGTGAAATAATTTTGTCGCCATAAGATGTTTTGTTACTCCAGTAATCTGGCTTTTAAACTTCAAAATTCTAAATCTAAATCTCACGCTATTGTGGACACCAATTGTTGGTCCCGACGGTGTCCGCTGTAGCGAAAGTTGCTTGAAATTGTTAGTGCCTAATACGGCATAACCACAACAAGTTAAGGTTGTTTGTAATGATGTGACAGTATTACATGTAGCTTAGGATGCTCATTGCTATTTTTTTTTCTCTCCCAGATACATTCTACAAAACAAGTTCAGAAAACTTCATGATCGTTGCTGAAGGGTACGTGGGAAAAATTTACAAGCTTCCTCTTGCTGTACCCGAAACTCCATGCTTTCCACTGGGAATTAACACAAAAATCTCAAGGCCTTTGGCCGTTGATTACGATCCAGTCGAAGGAAAGGTTTATTGGACAGATCTGATCTTAAAACTGGTGGCCAGAGCATTTCCTAACGGGTCTTCAGTTGAGGTTATTGCACACATTAATGTTGATACTCCAGCAGGACTGGCAGTTGATCATTTTGGACGTAATATTTATTGGACAGATGAGGCAACAAGTAGAATTGAGGTCGCAAAGTTAGATGGGTCATCTAGAAGAGGTGTAATCACATCAGATATCGAAAGGCCAAGAGCCATACTACTCGATATTGGAGAAAGGTAATCTAGAATCCAGAGTATAGTGCAGTTACACAGCTTTTAATTCCGGTGACGTGCTATCGGATATCTATGCTTATCACATACGGGGCAAAATTACTGAATGCTGATTGGCTGAGACAAAAGGCATTTTTTTTTTAAATCACGAGGGCACTTTTGGTAATCAAGAGGGCATGATTACTAAATGCTGATTGGCTGAGCACGCCTGCATTAAGTCGGTTTCCCGTTTCAAACGGATTTTGAAAAGGAATTTCAGAAATGTATCGCTTCTGAGTTTGATCTAATCGCGGTTATTTTATCTTAACGTGAAAGGAAATCGGTATGCAGCAAAGCGCAGTTTTATCGTGGAAAAATAAAAGCATATTTTCATCCAAAAATGTGTTGATTCGGAGCCTGTAAAGAATTTAAGAGGGGGCGGCTGGTATCGCACGGAGCATAGAGTTAGAGAACTTCATGGCTGCCAAACTGAAAGTTAATTTCTTCGTTTTGCTTCGGGTCGCCTTATTGGTATCACAGTCCACCTTATCAGCGTAAAAAAACAGCGTAAATTTAGTTGGTACGTTAAGATTTCTCGGTGGAAAGGAGAGTTTTGGATTCAAGTAGTTATTAGAGCTCGTTTGGACACTTGTTTATGTCTTTTATCGATCGATGAAGTAGTTTCAAGCCGTTGCAAGCATCGCAAAACAGATAAATAAAATTACATTGCTTAACTTTTATTATATTTGTAAACAAATTGCTTTGAGTGAAATCAACTTGCTGTGTTTTGCTTACTATTATAGTAGGCTTTCCCCGTTCTACTGCTAGCCTGTTCTTTAATGACAACCGGCTAACCTGTTTACGCGACGACAAGCCCTTGAAAGTTTATCTTTTGTACAGAATTTTGCCCTTAATGTGATAAACAAGTAAGTGTCCTCGGCCAATTAATGATTAATTTCACTTGTATTTTCAAAGTTTCCCAAATTGCTCTCGTAGATTACATCAACAAAACAAAACAATTTCTAGTTCACGCACTCTTTTATAACTTTACTCCTCCTTTCCGAAAATATTTATAAGTGATTGTCGAGAAGGTTAATAGATCTTCGACACAGATCATGCTGTTTAGAGATAATACTCGGTCCTCGTGGAAATGCATGGACAATCCTGCTTTCCCAAAGAATACCCAACACCAACGTTAAATTATTAATTCACAACGCCGTCCCTCTAGAAAGATGTATTGGGGTGGCAGCGGAATATCGCTAAAAATCGAACAGGCCAACATGGACGGTTCAGCCAGGACAACTCTTGTTAGCTCCGGACTTATGTGGGTGAACTCGCTCGCTCTGGATTACCAAAAAAGACTTCTGTACTGGTGTGATGCGGGCATTCGCAAGATCGAAAGGGTAGACCTCCAAGGAAATAATCGCGTTGTGATACTGGATTTATCATTGGATTTTATGCATCCATTTGGACTGGCTCTATTTGGTGACGCTCTCTTCTGGTCCGACCAGAATAATACAAGTGTTCAAAAGTACAACATGACAACTTCTCGAACTGAGGTCGTTGTTCACGGAGTGGGATATCCCCTGGAGTTACACATATATGATCAATCCAAAGACTTTTTTGGTTAGTATATTTTTTTTGTTGTTGATTTGATTTTAATCTACCTTAACTTTAACATGATATTCTGGTTGATAACCCACCGTTGACTGTTCATTAAGCGCAACAGTAGTCGCAAAGGGCCGTGAACATGTTAATGCCTTGTTGTTATTTTGCAGAACTACGAGCGCTGAAAGCAGAACGCCGGACGTCGAATGGACTGTTTGCTTTCGGTCAGTATCACTCGTGTTTGCTTGCGGTTAACATTTAATTGTTCAAAATGGCCAAATGCATTACAATGCTGTCCTTTGCATCTAATAAAAGCAAACTGCAAACAAACATCAGGGAAAATAACCCAAGCAAACAGTGCATTTGACGTTGAATTACGCGTTCAAATTAAATTAATGGTTCATATCCACAGACCCTAACTTTGCAACTCTTTTTAAAGTGACAATTTTCTTCGTTGCGTTTTAAGCTGCAAACTGTGCGCCTTTAAGCATCCCTCCAAGAGCCCTTCTTGTGAATGGTCCCTGTGGTAATACGTATAACTCAAACTGTGTATTTGACTGTGAACGTGGATTTGTCCAAGCCGACGGGAATGCCACTAGGACTTGTTTGGAGACTGGCCAATGGAGTGGAAATCCCATCTACTGTATAGGTACTCGACGTTTATTTCTTTTCGAAGTATCCAATATTTTTCTATAAGGTTATTTTAACAAAATTTGCAACATAATGATGTAAACCTTCTTGCTGCATAAGTCACCAAACTTTCATAGTTAATCACAGTTCAACAGATAATATTTAATTGTTTTTGTAATAATATTTACTAGTTTGGTTTATATTAGCATCACTTTAATTTGCTGGTGTTTGCTCTGTTTTGGTCATTTCTTGTGATTCTTTTCGAGGTCGTGGGTATAAATCGCTAAATCGAACATGGCCAATTCCTAATCGAAATAATCACGTAATTCCGAAAGACATTTACGTCTAATCTCACATTGCGAATAACCTCCTCTAGAATTTTGCAATCTTGAAGCTTAGGTTAGAGGGGTTCCGCTTCCATCCCCTCTCCGCTATCTTCCCGTCTCAGAAGACCCTTTCATACCTACTAGAAACAACAGTGTTACTTATGGGAAGCAGTCTCTGCGTTATGTAGGACCCAAATTATGGGGCAAACTGTCTATGACTGACAGATCAGCCAAGACACTGCAGGCTTTTATAAACTATATTCGCAAAGGGGATATAACTCGCTTAATGGACACCGGATGTAAGGGCAGCATCCTATGCTGCACATGATGCCCTTCAAGTCATTTATTTTTTTTAATGTATTACTATTAGTATTAGTATAGTTTTTTAGCAGTGTCCCCTAATTAGTATGGTGTATTATTTCCAGGCTATAAGGTTTTTGACACTTTAAAAAAGTTCTCACTCACTCACACACACACACACACTCACCTTATTATTAACTTTTTCATAAACAATCTCTTGAAATCATTTTCTTAAAATCTTTTGAATGCTTGCAGAAAGTGGTACACATTATTGCATAAAACCACGTCTTGTTGTTTCATCTCAGAAACCCCTAGCACTGAGCCGACGTATTCTCCAGCAATTGCCGTGGGATCATCCATTGCCGTAGTGTTTGTGATTTTTGTAGCTCTTCTTTGTATGTGGAAACGCAAATTTCTGTAAGTGCTCTTGTTACTACACTTGCAACAGACTTTATTTTTAGAAATAATGACTTCTATAGCGCAGTCGACTTCCTGTTTCGTTTGTTTACTTAATATGGTAAATAAATAAATAAATAAATAAAATACGACAATACGTAAGAAGAAGAGTCCTGGGTCGTTTTTTTCAGTAAAGATCAGTGCATTTGTTTTATTTCTGCAGCGTAAGGACATGGCGACGGTTCATAGGGAGGGAAAATGTGGTAGAAAATAATCAAGAATATGAAGAGAGAGGTGGCAATCAAAACAACGTACAGCAGGCTAATAATGGTTTTCAAAACCAGCATAACCAAGGGTAATGCGTCATTTTGTCTTAAGTGTAATATGGTTTTCGGAAAACAAACACAGAGCATTTCTCATTCTATGGAGACCGATGCTTTTCATTTTACTTTTTGCTGCAGGAGATGGCCACGTTACATACGGGAAATAAATTTGGGAGAAAACAATCAGGGATATGACGATAGAGATGGTAATCAAAACCGTGTAGCAGGAACTGATGGATTACAGCTGGTTACTGTTGGTTTTCATGGTAAGGTAGGTACAGTCTGCATACGAGGCAGATGGTTCATCAGGCCAGCGCCCTGGCTTATGCCATTTATAAACCAGGGTAGAGAGAGGCACTGTGAGAGGAAAGTGTTTTGCTTTTAAAAGAACACGGCAAGATGTCCCCGGCCAGGGCTTGAAACCAGACCACAATATCTGGACGCGAGCGCACTTTAATCTTTAATCTTTAATCGCACTAACCATGAGACCATCGCGTCTTTTCATAACGGCCATTATAACCCTAAGTAACATTGTGGAACCTTTTGATATGTTTCAGCAGTATACCAGGCTTGCTTGGTCTCGGCATGGCTCGTATTCTGGCAAGACGTAGTTGAGCCAAAATATCTTTAGCGTGACCAAGCGAAGCCTGATTTGCGAAACAAAGCGAACCAAAATAGTTTGATTAGGTATTGATCACACCCAAATTTGCGAAAGGTGTATCATGTCAGGGATGTGCAGTCCATGAACACGGTAATGAGCGTGGTAGACTGGGATTCTGATTGCCTAATATCTGAGTGCAGTAAATATGAAAAAGGTGTTTCGTAGAAACATTCAAGACAATCCCCTCCTCACCATTAATTCAGAGTGGTAGGGGGTGGGGGGTTGGGAGATGGTGTTGACGGGAAGATGGTTGATAGATATCTGTCCTTAGGTTTTTCATTCATTACAAGTTTGAGTTATTTTGAAAGCTTAATGTAATGAAAAAATATCTGGAGGCTTGTTTTGTGACTATATACTGATTTAGCGTTACTTTCATGCTCGACTTGTTCTACTAGCATGGCATCCTCCACGGCTCCGCAGAACGCGGCCAAATCGACGCAACCTCTAGCGACACTGGTGCAACTGCTGGAAGTTCAACCTCAGCAGCAACGGCTGAGGGAGGTGAAGACCATGAGAGCAACAACCACGGAGCTAAGGCAATTCCAGGTGCGCAATAAGGGTTTTGAAATTGCACATGCAATATTAGAATGGGTAATAAACTAAAGGAGGACGGTAATTAATTTCATTTTCATTCGATATTCCGAGGTGAGGTTCAGTTTTCTAACCACAATAAGATTTTAAGCCACACACCTTTTTTTGCGTATTGGCCCCAGTTTCGAACATCTTTTCAGCGTTTGAAGGATTGCCCTTGTTCTGCGCAGTCTCGAGACATCTTGAGGTCATTTCTCACATTTGCATCGTGCATCCCTACTGCGCATAATTTACGGCGTCATTAGCG